ACAGAATGGTTTTCTGATGGTGCTTTTCCCTTTAGTTTAGTAGACGAGCAGATTTTTTCATATGTATATCTTTAGCGTATCACTGTATGTGCAATGTGTTAATTTGAAAAATTTCATTTCTACAAAGTTTCAGAGCTCTTAGATAATTAATAAAAATAAACTAGGCAACTGCTATGCGCCACAAAATGAGAAGAGAAGGGCTTCTTGCTGCGAATAATAATTTTCTATTTTCTTTCCTGCACTATCTTCTTCGCCTTTCAATGAGAGGAAAACTTTTCCCTCGTATTAAAATAGGAGTTTAAAGCGAAACGAGGTATTTTATACTAATTAACAATTAAATCATTCAGAATGTTTTATAGGAAATACCAAATATCCGACAAACCTCTTAGCAAAATGTGGTCTACATATAAATTAACAAAAGATTGATTCGAAAGAACAATATGGAAAACGTTCTTGGGAAGTTCCTAATAACATTATCTTCAAACCCAATTTTTGGCGCATGGCCTCTGCGCCTGCATCGATTTCATTTCCTTCATCACTTTCATACCTTCACCATCTGCTCTCTTAGACTGCACTGTTGCCAATCCCATGCTCCTGTACCTAAAAAATAGTCCCAGAAACATGCCATTACTATAAAATTCTTTTCATTTAACTTTTCCTTTGTTAGAGGAAAGCAATTAGATTTTAATCAAACTCGTCATTTGTTAATTCAGGACAGATTTTAGAAGGGAGAATAGAAACTAACCTAGGAGGCCAATGCAGCAGTATGGCCGCATAATTGGCCGGTGATGGACGTGCTCTGCGGTAGTAGCGCAGAAATTCCCGTGAAACCAATGGTTTTTTGGATAATATCCTTCTATCAGATCTTCAAATACTTATGATGAGCTCTGAACCACCGCCCCAAGTTCTACAGTATTGGCCATATCACTTGAGGCAAATCAGCTGTTTTCCACTTTCATCCACATTAACTGTAACCAAGAAACAAAAATATGAGAGCAAACAGAAGAACACTTGCCATATTTAAAAGAAACAATTAGAAGCCAAATCAACGGGGCAAGATGCACTCTGCTTCTAATTTAATTAATTGAAGCATGGGAATGTCATAAACCTGCTGCTATAGTCATAAAATTCTTCTAATTTCGCTTCTTCTTCATCATCACCACTACCGTAATGTACCTGTGCAATGACTTTTGCAGCCATATGCTTCCTAAACAGCTTCTAAGCTGATTAAAAGGATGAACAACCTATCGTCAAATACAAACACAAAAAATCCCTCTTCACCTGCACAAGGGAGAAAGACACAAGGTGAACATTGCAAGTAAAGAAAAAAAACAAGTTATTGCAAACAGAAAGGACATTAGACTGGTAATATAGTTACCTTAAGCCAAGATAAGCTAAGAAGGCCTTTTGGATCCCTTCAAGTACTCAACATCGGAATGAAAAAAACCATGGTGCTTTGTGCATGTGAACCATGCAACTTTCTATGTTATCATAGGCTCTTGAATCACACATAAAGCAACATGATGGATCCAACAAGTCATCATCTTCATCCTTCAGCCATATCTTCATCCGAAAGCGCCTCATTTACATTCAAATTCAGTCAATGATTTTGTGGGCCTCACCTTACTAACTCTTCCTCTTGATCAACCTCTCCCATTCATTCATCACTATCTTCGCTACTTCATTTGCCCAACCTCTTCTCGAGGGGCATGCTTACTCATGGGCATTGGCGCTGAAGCTGATTTAATCACTGCCCTATCCTCATTCTTGAGTTGCTTCCTGAGAAGCCCGCATGATGTGGCTCGTGATTTAAGATTGCTGAGCATGAGCTTTGGAACTTCGATATCCCGTTACCACATAGAATGCAAACTTGTATAGCATAGGGCCTCTCATTTGAAGTTATCCTTCTCTTTTGAGCAAGGGCAGACTGTCTAGCTAAAACAGCGCTTCAGTCACCCTGGAACACCAGCTACTGTTACATATTTCTTTGAAGGCATAAAAAACCTAGTGGAAAAAGAAGAAATTCCAGATAAATAAAAAAATCCGCAGTCTAGCGTCATTTAGCGTCTCTGGATCTCACTGACGGGAAATGACCAAAGCCATACACATTAAGATGATCCAGGCAAAACCTTACACAATAGAATAAAAGTCGTTCAGCAGCAGTTTGCTATTTACACAAAATTCACTTTCTACACAATCCCAACTTTGATTCAATATCATAGGTTAGCCTGTAAATATCTAGCAGAATGTTTACGTTGATAATAGTGTAGCTAAGCGAACTAAACACAATTGACGACAGCAATATACAACCAAGTCATTCACAAAGAAAACGGGAAATCTCGAAATCACTTGCGCAAATTAACTACTCACTAGGATAAAATACGATTTGAACATCAAAAATTTTCGAGCTATTAAAGAACACGAGGTTCTTCAGTGGAGATAGCGAAAGCCAATTGGCTTGAGAAACTTCAATAAATTAAAAAATCTCAAAAATCATTTTCAGCCGTAGAAGGCGTGCCTTCCTATACATCAATAATTCACAATTCCAAAATTTCTTAGAAAAAAAAAAAAAAAGAAAACGATGAGATTGCTAATGAAAGAGAACCTTGCGTTTGAGATTGTAGCGATGCCAAATCGGACTTGTAATGGAGCTTTTTGCTCTGTATCGTCCTTGAATTCCTTATTGCAGGCGTTGCAGGTTAGTCCTGCATTCTTCTTCTCCCTTTTCCTTGCTTCGATGTAGTTTTTGCGTCTTCTGGCTTCGAAACAGAAGAGAGATATTAAAAGGAGGAAAGTACACACCGCTCGAAGTCGGCGAGAGGTGATCCAATTTACAAATACCACAGCAGTCGGCTTGCGCAAGCGAAGACGAAAATTCGAAACGCAGTCATTATTTATCAGACCCCCTGGGGACCTGAGACCCAGCATTAGTAACAAAAAATAGAGATCAAGGGCAAGGCCCAGTTGGATGACTTGGCGTTTAAGGCCCATTCTTGTACACAATCATATTCGAAGGCCATTTACGATTAGATATGCCTTGACTTGGTCCCCAAACATTGTTGAGACGAGTATTGAAAGAATGGCAAATGGAAGCAGTGATAATGGGGCTGTGGAATTGAAGCAGTACCAAATTCATGCAATTGTTCTTAATACATTCGCCGGAAATTCATTATCTTCAGTGTTATTTATTTAATTATTGCTAATTTATATTATTTTGCTACTATCATAATTAATTATTGTTTTTCAAAAAAAAAATTAAATTAATGATAAAATGGGATAATTAAAATTTGAAAATTAGTAGAAGGGAAATTGATTTTAAAAAACATATATATGGAGGAGATAATTTTCATAATTGAGCAACTTTATCTCCTACCAGAAAAGGAATTAGATAAGATTCCAGAAAGGGAAATTTAGAACATTCATTCCTGTTTTGCCACAAATTCGGACCAATCCAATCTTAGACAAGATCATCTACTTAAAGGACGCAGCAGCACGCCTCTTATTCATTCAGCGTCAGCGTGATAGTTAATAACCGCTATAAAACCTCAAGCGATCAAATAAATTAAACCGCTGCCCTTTTTTCTTTACTTTCCCTCCCGAAAAAGACAGAAGGAAACTCAGTTTGCTCTTTGCTTCTCCAGCTACGATTATGAACTCCATTTCCAGTCACTCGACAAGCCTCGAGCTCCGATCTGGCGGAAATTGTCCGAGTCAAGCGAACCACTGGTCCAGGACTCCTACGAGCGCCCCCCTAGATTGCTGCCAATTCCGGTTCCCAAAACCCAATTGGCTGTCCGAGACTCATTTTATTCTCCTACTCCGGTGATGCTACCGGCGCCGGCAGAGTTCTCTCCTCAGTCTTCGTCCTGAATCTTCGTCTTCCTCTTCGTCTTCGGAAGGGATTTCACTTCAGTGTGTCGCATTATACGATAGGAAAGAAATGGTTTTGCACTTTAACATTTATAATTTTCTATCTGGACTTATGTTCAAAGGAATGCTGTCACTGTATTATGTTGTGAGCTTTAGAAATTTACGCCTTGTTGGAGTGATATGTATTGTCAATAGTTTTTATTTAATAAACAGCCCTAGAGATCTGGCCTTTTCTATTCTCTGTACTTTTACTCTCAAGATGTTAGTTCAGGTGTCATCTAAGCGAGCCACTGGATTAATCTGACTGATACAGTACTCGTTTCTCTTTCTTATTTTTTTCATATTATATGTTCGCTCTATTTGTCACTATGAGAAGTAGAAGGAAACGTAGGATTATGGTTCGTGGTTTTGATGGATGGGTGATTTCTTTATCTCAATTTTTTGCAGAGGATAATATGAACGACACAAAATGGATGATAACGGTGTCTCTTCTCAAATGCCAGCCAGATTGGAAAAAAAGGTAGTTATGCTACAAGTTTTGCGTTACGTGTTTGTCTGTGTTCGGCAGATGAAGGGGATTTGCATAGCACCTTATCACATACTACAGTTAGGGATATTGCATAGTTAAAATGGAATAAAGAAGTTGTTTGTCTAACATTATCATCCTTCCCTTCAGTCTTCTTTCTATTTTCTTATTTTCAATTTGTTTCGGGCCTTATGCCAGAGTAAGTGGACATTCTTAAGAATACAAGGAAGAAAAAAGATTCTCTGGATGATATATATCAAGCTGCCATCTTTTATGTTTTATTAATGTCCCAAAATAATTCATATTTTGTAAGTGCAGTGCATGTTGAAGCCCTTATAGTTTACATGGACTACTTATGAGGACCTCAATGACTGCAAAATTACCTCCTTGTTACATGTTACGTTGTTTATGGGCCAACATATATTTATGGTGGTGTTTTAGTTGTTCCCAGTCTTGTTCCTTAATTTTGATAAAACTGGGATATGATACTCTATGTGGCTGGGACTTTAATTCTTCTTTTTTGCACTTAAATTGGAAGATCATTACGTCTGAGAAAGAACAATTCACATAGGAAAGATCTTTCAATTATATAGAGTGAAGAGTGGGAAACAAAACGTGCAATTGAACGGACTTCTTCTGGCAGAAAAACCTTCTCAAGTTAATTGAAGGTTTCTGTTGCTTCTTTTTAATATTTTTGTGGCGCTCTTACGTGGCTGTTTCTTATTTGCTTGCCACTATTATTGCTAATTGTTGTAGATGATTGCCAGGTCATTCTTTTCTTCTACATGCATTTAATGGTTCCCATCCTGCCTGCAAATATTTCCTTATTTTCATTTCCTTTCTTCTATTCTGCTTGAAAAGTTGTGGTTCAGTAATTTACCAAAACTACCTTCTAAGTTTTAAGTTTTTTCAATTTACGAAGTGATTGTAGTTAAAAGTTCGAAAAAGCACCAATAAATTTATTTTTTGTTCAGTACTTGGCTGATCTGCTTTAATCTTGAACTTCTTAAGTTTTGTGAGTATTTATTCTTCATTGATTTTCTCTTTCTGATCCATGATAACTATTTTAGATGTTCACATATGACCAGGAAGAATGTGTAGACTAACATATGATTATTAAATCGAAGTTGTAATTCTCCCATCACTGGAGCATAGAATGGGGAAAACTAAGTGATATACCTGACAGAACAGTTGCCAGCGGTATTACTTTTTCAGAAACTTTTGTGAAGCAAGAAAAGGACTTTAAGAATATTCTGCCAATTCCACCTTTGCTGATGGCTTCTACTCTTGTTTCAGATGGTGATTTGCGCTGAAGACTTCGAAGATAACAGCTATTACAGAGGCTAAAAAATGGCTAAGAGGAAAAGAAATTGGGATCAATTCAAAGTTCGGAGTTGGAGTGGGAACCTGTACTCTGAACACTGTTAGTGTTTGCCACATGTTATAGTTCTTCCTGACAAACCAATCTTGGACATTAGTTTATCCACTTATTGTATTCATTTACTTTGACTTAGATTATTAGATGAGTACCTGTATCTAGTAGGGGGGGGACTGAGCAAACTGTCAGTTCGGTTTCAAAACCGACCAAAACCGAATCCACAAAATGATAAACCAAGTTCTTTATAATAACCGAGCCAGACCAAAGTTTGTATATAACAACCAGTTTGTTCGATGTAGTATACTATTGGGTAATTTAATTGACTATACTGTTGTAAGATAGCTGCTAAATAAACCATCAATTAGGAGAATAAATTAGCATCCAATTAGGGAGCTAATTCAGGCTGTAAATGTCAACCATATTAGGAGACAATGGGCATCAATTAGGAGAGATTATTAGGTCTGGGGCATCAATTCACGATGAGCCATTAAGGCATTTGTAATTGCGACGAGCTATAGCAAGTATGTAAGACACACTACAGCGACTGATTCACCTGCATAGCGGACATCTTACACTATGACGGCGTGCGTGAATTTAGGCCAATTCTACTTCCTAATGATGTCTGTGGATATACTTCTCTCACGGTGCTCTTATTTAAGAACCCAAGTCAGCTTGTGGGAATAGACACCCAGCATAAAGATCTCCTTATCATATTGTCAAGAATTTCGACACTTATTATTACAGCACTGAAGTATAGCTCCACTAATGATGCAATTATTTCTTCCTAATTGTTTATTTACAGCTATCTATACAACGTATAGGTCAATAATTAAACAATGTATACAGCAAGATCTTAATTTTCATAATGGATATCCAAGTACCCCGTCATGTGAGGTAGTTACCGAAGCATCTGTGCGAACGGACAAATTGATGACCATTGCAGTATTTAGTAAGGCTTGTTTCTATATGAGTTTCAGCTTGATAGAACACAGCATAAATGTGGTGTTGTAAAATGAGTGCGAAAAGTGAAACAACTGGAGAAGTGGATCAGATTCCTGGGCGCTGTCTTACAGGATTCAGTGCAAGTTTCTGGTTTTGCTTTCTGTTTGTTGTAATCATGACTCGTTTCGATGAACTCAAAACGCAGTTCAGTATGATAATAGTTAGCTGACATATTTCTATTTGGAGGTTATCTTGGCTCACTATTGGTGGAAGAGAGTGTGTCTCTGGCTAGGACAATTTTGTCTACTGCAACTGTTCTAGGTTATGGTAAGGATGTGAGGTCTCATGGTACATATGGTGGGCCTCTCAAATTTATCTTTCTTCTCAGATACGACCATGCTTCCTGGTTGTTTTAATTCCTAACCTCATACTGGCATTATCATGGTTCCTAAAAATAGTGCTATATTGAGCTCTAGATGGCCACATCGCAACAACCAAACAGACAGTGAGAGTCTTTCGTAAGCTGTTGCGTTTCACCGGCAAACACAATGATATCATCTCATGCAGACTAATTTCAGTCCAGGTCTAAGTTGTGTAAGTGGATATTGAGAACTGTGTGGTCATATAGATGGAAGTGATTCTTACTCCATGTCCTTCTACAAAAGATGCGTTATAATAGGAGTCTAAGACTTCATTAGAAATCAGCGTTAGAGATGCAAGAGTAATGACATGGATTCTGGGCGTCCAGATTGAACGCACATCACTTAATTGGCTAACTACAACTCCATGAGCAGTCTATCTCAGTAGAAAGACCTGAGTGTTCTCGAAACAAAGCCCACGGTGGCACTTACAACTTGAAAAAGTCTAGCTGATTCCACAATGGATCAAATGCCTGCAAGACAAGGCGTACCGGTTTGGATCAGCCAGTTAGGTGAGAGAGCGATAAATCCACGATGCATAAAAGATGTGCTATCACGCAAGAATGAAGCGAGAAATTATCTCTTCCCCGACGAACTGCTACCATATGATCATATTCAACTACTCGATGTGGATTCATGGTTGTACTCATGCAGAAATCTGATCTGACTATGTGGCTGAGTGCTTTGAAACCTTGAGCAAACAATAATTTAATACTATAAGTGCGCGTCCGAGAATTCATCTCCACCTGTAACTTATGCTACACGAAATAATTTCTTCAAATGGCACCCGAATAAAGCAATTAGACGACACTCCCAAATAAGTCTAAATGTGTGAAAGTCTGAAGAAGAGTATCTC